TCAGGGGCAGGAGGATAATGTGGTAAAGTTGTTTTGTGAGAGGTGGCACTCTAAAACGTAGAGGGGTTGCTCCTCTATGTGTCAGGAGTGATGTGTAACTTGTTTGTACCTGTGTATAAGAGAGCATCCCTGAGTGGATGTCTTTGTCTGGCCTAGGGGGCAGTGGTAAATCCCGCCACTGACTGAGATGGTCCATTGTCAGGGAGCACATATGTACTAGCAGAACTATAGACATCTGATCCGGGGAGCTAGAGACTTTGTTTCGTTTGGCAATAAACCTGGCTGGGTGCCTTCATACCTTATCAGAGTCTGTGGTCATTGGGGATTCTCTTGGGGTCTGCTGTGTCAGCAATCTTCAGAGCCAGGGCAGCACACAGAGGGAACACACGTACGCAGCTGACTTTTATCAACATTGAACAGAGCAAAGCACCACACCAGTGACTTCTGACAATAGGTATGCCAGTAATGTTTGAAATATTAATTTGCATGATGTAATTAAAATATCAGTTGCCAGCTGGAGAAAGACATAGGAATCCAAATAGCAGAAAACTCAAAACCAAGATGGGTATGTGTAGCACATGTGGTGGTATTGGCATGAGTACGGAATGGGAGCTTTTTCATTGGAGTATAGATATGAACAGATCTTAAAGCCATCTGGCCAACCTGACATTGGTTCAATATTAGCTGTTAACATGTAACTCGTGTATATCTTACATTTCTTATTTTAGAAGGAAGCAGCTGTCCTGTCTTGCTTCATTCTCCAAGCAATTGAACATTTAAATCCCCCATTTTCAATATCCAAGGTGTGGTGGTTGTCTGATGCTAGCTATATTTCTGTAAACATCTAAAATTTACAAAAATGTAAAGCTGCCATATGAGGAAAAGGTCTTGCGGGCTAGAACTAATTTGTGAAGGTGCCTCTTCCAATGACAACCTGGTTCTCTAATTTGGTATCTAACCAGAAAATATGGTAGTCATAATTTTGTCAGGTTTCAGAGTAGCAGCCGTGTTAGTCTGTATCCGCAAAAAGAACAGGAGTACTTGTGGCACCTTAGAGACTAACAAATTTATTAGAGCATAAGCTTTCGTGGGCTACAACCCACTTCTTCTAAGTTTCTATGTGTTATGTGTGTCACATCCACACAATAACACAATATACATATACTACCTGTATGGCCCTGAGGATGTCACATGGGCTGCAGCTGATTGGACCGTAAGTGACCTGTGGATCGAGGACCATTGATTTATTGGCTGACTGAGTTGAAATTGTTTCCTGTACTTGACTAATTCTACGCTGCTGGGAGGTTATTTTGTCATTGTCCGTCTAATTAACTGTTGGGACATTTTAAACTTTTGTATGGGCTGTATTGTTTAAATTAACTGGAATAGAATACACTTGAGCGTCAAACATCAGTGTTCCTATCAACAATGAACACTCAGCTGTTAGATCAACAGTAGGAGAATTTCTGAAAATATTTTGTTACGCTGAGCATTTTCAGAAAGTATTTTCAGAAATCCCTCCATTGTTTTTGCAGCTGTACTGGTACTAGGAATATGTGAACCAGGTGTAAGCACTCCAGATCTACACTGACAGAGCTGGACAACATGGTGGCCTAAAAAAGAAAAAAAAAAGCCTATGCCCACTCAACACTAGACCTCCCATTGCTAGAACAGGGTGAGCCGCAGGGGTTCTAGACCAATAGTGGCAGAATTCCTGAAAATGCTCAATGTAACTCAGTCAGGGTATCTCCTGCCTTGGCTCACAAAACCACTAAGGCTCTGATCCCGCAACTTATTCTACTATGGCAGACCCCTGTGCCCACCTGAAGTCCCATTGACTTTAATGGTTTAAATGCACACCAACATTTGATGGCTGGGTTTAAAAATTTTATTTGCTTTTAATCACAGCTGCAAACAGCATAAAAGTTGTCAGCACCAGTGTAATATTTTGTATAGAAATTTTAAGGTTAAAGAACATTTTAAAACCCAGTTAAATAATCTTTGGTAGTAGTTATTCCACTAGTGTTATTATTGATATGGACATAGCTAGCTTGAGTAATTCAAATTTGCAATGTTGGAGAATTTACTGAAACATGAGAGCCTTGGGTTGATTTATAGAAAAGCTTTACAGTGATGTATCCTATTAAATGCCAGACAATCATCCATATAGACAAACAGTTTATGCTGGGTGATTGATTGTAGGAATCCTACTCATAGATCCAATGCATGACATATTCAATCACATCATCTTTCTATTTTTAAAATATTAAATGATCTTTGCATCCTGATGTGATCTGTCCAGTGGAGATTGAACCACTTATTCATAAGGTTCAATTGATAGGACCAAATCTGGCAGTCCTGCCCTATATAAAACTCTCATTAGTCAATAGGAGTTTTGTCTGAGTAAAAGATAAGGGGTTTAGAATTTTGCTCAAACGCCCAGAAAATAAACATATGGGACAAGATCCTACCCCCATTCCTGCCCTTTCACACCATTCAGGTGGTACAAAGGGGCTGGCATCAGGCCCTAAATGCTCAGATAAGAATTCCCCCAGCCTGGGAAATCTGTCAACTGGTGTAACCTGTTTCTGTGCCAACCACACCCATCCACTCTATTGCAGGTGGAGCATCTGGAGCAGGAAAGGATGTACTGAAGGCTGGGCAGAGATTAGGGTGACCAGATGTCCCGATTTTATAGGGACAGTCCCGATATTTGGGGCTCCTATTACCCCCCACTTTCTGTCCCGATTTTTCACACTTGCTATCTGGTCCCCTAGCAGAGATAGAACATGCCAGCTGAGAATGATCAGAATAGTTGTAGTCCTTTTAGGGACCATGGCCAGCCTGTGTAAATATCAGTAGCCCCTAGGCCCCTCTAACTTTTTGCTGTAGCAGCCACATTTGTGAATCAGGTAATGATAAACCTACTCTTTCCTGCAACAAGCAGATCTTCTTGCAGGAGAAAATCTGCACCATTATATCTTATTAAAATCAAATTACTGGTTGTTACAGCTGTATCCTGAGTGGGAAACAGGTCTTCTAAGAATTTGTTGTGCTCCATAAACCTGTTGCTAAAGATTATGGATGATGTAATTTTTATGCTAAAATGTGGTTGATGTTTAAATTTTCAAATTTTACAGAGATCAGAATAAGATTATCTAAGGAATGGTCACTATATTCTTAGGTATTAGTTTTTCCATAGGGGGGAGTCTGCCTCCTAAGCCTTGTAACGATCCTCCTTCTAAAACCCAAACTCCTAGGTGCACTCAGCTATGCCTATACTCGAGTAACTGCAGTGAGTAATTATGTCTTTTATACACTTCAGTGGAAAGTTCACTAATCTTAGGCAAGATTTTCATTCATGTAAAAACTGCTGGTAAGAATGGAAGCTGCCCACACAATTTCTTTGAACACTATGCTGACATAACAGTACTCATTCATAGCTGCCCCATTTTAGTTGGTGTAGTACTATGTGTACACGCTTGTTAGGATGACCAGACAGCAAATGTGAAAAATCAGGACGGGGGTAGGGGGTAATAGGAGCCTATATAAGAAAAAGCCCCAAATATTGGGACTGTCCCTATAAAATCGAGACATCTGGTCACCCTAACACTTGTATACATCTGTTTTCTGTGCACAGCAACCAATGCAGTTCCGCATTGATGCACACAACTGACAGCTATCTTAATGCATGTAGCTGTGCTTTTTAACTCCCTTCCCCCTTTATGGCATGCACTAGAACTGAATTATTAAATTTTAAAGATGAAGGGATAAATACATCCCAGTGCAACTACACTGATGTCTGAATTTCCTAGCTTTTTGTGAAGTCCCAAGCACAAGGGTCATGTTTTTCAGTCTTTTCTCTAGAGCAGGGGTTGGCAACCTTTCAGAAGTGGTGTGCCGAGTCTTCATTTATTCACTCTAATTTAAGGTTTCACGTGCCAGTCATACATTTTAACGTTTTTAGAAGGTCTCTTTCTATAAGTCTTTAATATATAACTGTACTATTGTTGTATGTAAAGTAAATAAGGTTTTTAAAATGTTTAAGAAGCTTCATTTAAAATTAAATTAAAATGCAGAGGCCCCCGGAACAGTGGCCAGGACCCAGGCAGTGTGAGTGCCACTGAAAATTAGCTCGCGTGCCGCCTTCGGCGAATTTCTCCCCTAATCTCATGCTTCCAGGAGCTGGGCCTTCAAAAAACAAACAAAAAACCAAAACCCCAAAAGAAACAAAAAACCAACAACAGCCCACTACCATCAGGAATCTGGGCAACAATGAATTTTAAGTAAATAGCTTTAAACCATTTAATTGCCCTTTCAAGAGACTCACAGAGAAAAGAGGACAAACCCTAAGCAGCGGGGCCCCGCAGCAGCCCTACTTTTGCTGCAACACACTTTGAATATAGCTTTTGTATCTGTTTTGGCGCCCAGAGCGCTGGCTGTGCCCCGCTAGCAATCTGAGCTCTGCTCATCAAGCAGCAGCTGGGATCTGCACCCACCGGCATGGGGTTGGGAAGCAGTAACAGGTGGGCTAACTCTGCAGCAGCCCTTTCGGGCCTCTGGTCAGTGCAATCAGGGGCAATTCCTGTTTTTCCCCCGGTGCCAAAGAAGAGGGGGGCCCGCTCCCGCGCCTCTCTGCCCTGCGAGAAGGGGCCACACTTCCCGCCTGTCCCCGCAATCACGGAGCCCCGCCTGCGCTCTATCTAGCGGGCCCCGGGCCAGGTGGCGGCGGGGTAAGAGGCCGGGGCCGCTATGGGTCTCCAGATGGCAGCAGGCGAGAGGCGTGACTAGTAGCTGGGGGCTGGGCTTCCCGGCGCTGCTGGGGGGCGGCCCGGGCTGTACCTAGCTCGGGGGCGGCTCCAGCCCGAACCTCCAGTCCCCGGCCGCGCTGGGTGCCGCCCCCCGGATGGCGACACACTAGGGGCGGCGCCCGCCCCTCGGCACAGCCACGCACGGCGGGCAGAGCAAGCGGCAGCGGCGGCGGAGGGGGATGGCGGCGGCTGGGCTCGGCCCCCGGACAGTGGCGGCGGCAGTAGCAGCCGGAGCCAGCACCGCCCCGAGCGGCTCATGGTGGCGCCCGAGACCCAAGAGCAGCGGCCGCTCTGGCAACGCCAGCTGAGCCGGATCCCGGCGGCACCCAGCGCGGGCGGGCGCCCGGCGCTCACCTCCCCGCGCGTCCCTCGGGGGCTCGCTCCTGACGGGGCCGCCCGCCCCCCGGAGCCGCCTCAGGGCAGCGGCGAAGGGCGCCGGGCGGCGCCAGCGACGGGACTATGGGCGCGAAGCAGAGCGGCCCGGCCGCCGCCAACGGCCGCACCCGGGCGTACTCGGGCGGGGATTTGCCCTCCGGCAGCGGCGGCGCGAACGGGGCCGGCGGGCGCTCGGCGGGGGCCGGCGGGAGATACACGCCGCTGGCGCCTCAGGCAGCCCCCGGGGGCTCGGCGGCGGGAGCTGCGGCCGCTCCGCCCGTGGCTGCGCCCCGGAGCAGGTCCCTAGTCGGGGCGGCAGCCTCCGGGACCAGGGCCGCCCAGTCAGCCTTCAGCATCCCCCACAGCAGCGGCCCCTACGGCTCGCAGGACTCGGTGAACAGCGCGGCCGAGGAGGGCGGCCGGGGGCGGTCCGCAGTGGGCGGAGGACACGGCGGGCCCCGGCTCGTGATCGGCTCGCTGCCAGCGCACCTCTCACCGCACCTGTTCGGAGGTAAAGTACCCACCCGTGTCCCCCTCCCCCCCGTGTGTGTGTGTGTGTGTGAGAGAGAGAGAGAGACTGCAACCGCCTCGCTACCCCTGCCTGGGGATGTGGAGAACTGTAACAGTGCTACTCCAGCCCTGTCCATGGCATGGGGGGAGAGGGGATAGAGAGACTGGTATTCAGCCCTTCCCCAGACAGAGACCATAAACATTATACAGTACCACAGACGTGTGTGATGGGGGTAGGGAGTAGGCACATTGGAACAGTTTGTATCGTGGGGATGCTGAGAGACATTGAACCAAACTGTAAACCCTGTATAGGGTGGAAACAGCTTCAACCCATGGGGTGTGTGGCAGCTCCCCCAGCACCCCTGATTCCAGCACCTATGGGAGTAGGTCTCTAACTCTCAGTGATGGTCCAGGGAGCGACTTGAGGGGTAGCACTATTTTTGGTGGGGTTGAGGTAGTGAGTAACCTGCTTGGGGCCGATTCGGTGGTGTTGTGGGGAGTTTTGTGTGTGTGTGTGGGGGGGGAGTTAGCAGAGGAGGCTTTACCCTTCTCCTTTTCCTATGGAAATCTCGGGCCTGAATCTAGGTCACTACCCTCATGTTAAAAGGACAATATATTCTTTCATTTCAGCGCACCTTTCTTAGTTAACTGAAGAACTGATTGATTTCCTGTTCCATGTTTCCACATTCTGAATATTTTGTAACTCTCAGACTTGTGAAGTGAGTGTTTTTTGTATAGCTCTTTTTTGGCTCTTACTTGGGAGAGTAGTTTGTGACTTCGGGGGGATTACAATGAATCATCATTTTGTGAAAGGGGCAGCTTTCTAGTTCCTCCAGGCTTCAGTTTTATCTATACATGCTTCCGCTGCTGTTTCTTGGCCATGTATATTTAAAAAAAAATTAGAGGTCTGAAAGCGGAAGGAAGGAATTTAATAATGAAATAACGTCCCGTCCCCGTCCCCCCCGCAATGTAGTTTGCACAGTAAAAAGGAAAAAAGAGCCTCTCTGTCTTGCCACTTTAGACTTTAATATCGAATCTGTGCCTGTGTAAATATGCCAGTCTGCCTACTACTTACATAATTAGGATTTAATTGGATCATGTATTCATGCAGTTTATTTTAAATCAGACTGAAATCTGTTTTTAGGTACTGATTAAAATGTGGCTGCAGCTTGTTCCTGTTTCTGAGTCACTGAATTGTCTGTACTGAAACGTGGTTAATAAAATAGAAGTTATTGTAATGGAAAGTTTCTTTGAATTAGCTTTTTTCCAAAAGAAGAAAATGTTTAGATGAGGGGAGATGTTTTAAAAAACAGTCTTTAAGAAAATATAGCACTCTTTTTCTAAAGACTGCAGTACGTTTCCTGGAGGCGATAGAAATAGAGGAGGAGGAGCAAAATATTGAATCTATTGAGACTGAAGTTAAATGCTCTGTAAATAGTTTGAAAAAGATGAACTTGTTAGTTGTTTTTCCTGTACAGAATATTGTACAATTGTTGTTTAAATGAAAGTTTTTGGTGCATATTATGCACTCTTCTATCTCCCTTTCAAGTGTAGATTTTTAATTTTTTAGGTACAGTTATTGAGTTGACTTCTTTCTATGACATTTATTATAAAAGTTTCACTGCTCATACGAGTAAGGTGCAACAGGACTGTCCTTTAATGTGTTAATTCTTTTTGATAGCTGTTGTAATTGTCTAGATTAACTTAATACATATGTGTTATAGCTTGTGTAAAGTCTGAATTAAAAATAGAATGAAATGTTGTTTTTTGGGGAAGGGAGTTTTGATGCAAGGTGCCTGTCTGTGTGAACTTACTTTCACTTTTGATAGTGATCAATGAGAGCATTATTTACGGCAGTGTGATAATGTAGTTCTATAATATAAAACGTCCGTAGCTTTACATTTGAAATTTTTAGCCTTCAATGTAACTGGTATAGACTCAAGAACAGTAGGTCAAATTAAGATTTTTTTTTTTTTTTTTTTTGCCAGTCCTGGCACTTCCTGGATGGTCAACATGTATGTTACAGACACCCCTACAAACAGATTTCTGTTCAGTTCTGTTCAGTTGTGTTTTTGTGTGTGGGGACCTGAAGACAGTCCTGGGTCTCCTGAAGACTAAGTCCGCTCCTAGTGCTGTGATTGAACATGCTAATGCAGAGCATCAAACCTACCTTAACAAGGAGCATTTGCCCTTGAGAAGGAAAACTTAAGTGCAAGTGTTCATATAGTGCTGAGTTGCTGCATGTTTATTAATTGTTAGTTAAGAGTAGCAGGGCTTTGATGCAAGGATGCTGCAGTGTTATCAGAGTAGTATGCATGAAAGCTGGTGTGTGCAGTTCCTTTTGCAATCAAAGGGTACTGTGCTATTGCATATTTACAGTCTATACAGTGAGAGAAAAGCATTAAAACATAAAGCATGTCGCCAATTTGTCAGTCAAAAGTAGGATTCCTTGCTTAAACCTTGCATCACAGCCTTAATTAGATCAGTTACAGACCATATTTTCCTCATTACAATTTCAAGTGATAATTTACATAATTGCTAAGTAGTACCATATGTTTTCTTATTAATGAATCTATTAAACTAGAATGCAGAATATTAAATATTTATTGACTGAGACGATATAGAATGTATGCCCTCCATTTATGCAATAAGCTTTAACCTTGCAAGGTGACTAATCGATGATGGGTGTCAGATATTAGATTTTTGATGATCAAGATGCAAAATGTAACCAGCAAGACTGGTTACAATCTGTATATCATTTATATCTAAATCTATCTGTGAATTGGTCTGAAGTAGCTTTTCTTTTTTTCATATGAAAATGAATGGCTGCTTAATCTAATCCTAGCATTCAGTTTCGTTAAAAAGGGAGGGGAGGACCTTTACATGTCAAACTTTCCTATTATATATTTTTTGCAATTTAAATATTTTGTAATGTGGGTGGCATAAAAACTTTCCAGTGCAATTAACATAGTACATGTCATAGCTATACACTTTTAAAAAATTCAATATAGTATTCAGATGCTTGGTTCAAACAAGTGGTCTTGTTCTAGATCATAATTTCATAAGACTGTCCATGGAGGAAAATAACTTGGAGGACTGCTTTTGTGCTGTTTCTGACTAGCTTAAGCTTGTCTAGGTATGGTGCTTGGCAGTTACTATGTGTATTGTGCGTGTGCTTCAAGCACCTTCCCTTGTTTTGTAAACTGCAGGTGTTTTTTTTTTTTTTTTTTTTTTAACTGAAAACTACAGAAGTTTATTTTGAGAATCAGTTCAGCAGTTTCTTTGGAGAATTAGTTTAATATGTAAAGATTAAACTGTATTTTCCTGGCAGACTTTTTGGCTTTGACAATCAATAACGCATGTGTGTTGCACTTGTAAGACTACTATAATTAATTGGCACTTATTGAATTGCACTCCATTGTGACTTTCGAATTACCCAGAACAATGTTTAAATATTAGCTATCTAATCTGTTAGTTTTAAATTACGTGATTAGTACTAGAGGTACACTAAGATGCAAAAAATGAAACACTGCTATATGCTGCGATGTGCAAAAGTATGATCAGTCTGTTATTTGTTTGGTAGAAACTGTAGTAATGTTTAAAAAATAATTCATTCAAAGTCATAGTTCTCCTTTGAGTTAAGACGATCTTGTGTTCGTGCTAATTTTAGGCTTGCAATCCTTTATGATCAAATATTGCTATATATCTTGTGATTAAGTATCAGAGCCAATTCAGTTCAGTAACAAATTTTGCAGAATCAGGGCCTAAGACTTGAGCATATACTTAACTATATGCACTGTGAATGCAGGGGGACCCCCGATATACATTGGGGTCGAGTTCTTGAAAAGGGTGATGGGTACTGAAATGATGTATACTGCGGACCCCCGTACTCACGGTCGCCCCGCCTCGTTCGACCCCCTCCTCTGAGCACGACCCGTCTCCGCTCCTCCTTCTCTCTCTCCAACCCCCTTACCCCCCCGCCTCCTGAATGCTGCTGAACAGATGATCAGAGCAGGCAGGAGGCACTGGGAGGGAGGGGGAGTAGCTGATTGGCGGACAGGTGGTGCTGAGGGGGGAGGGCACTCGTGCGTGGTAAACACCCACAGAAAAGTGACGCAAAAGGTGAAGCGAGTACAGTATTAAGTTGCAAACGACGGATATGCGGATTGGGACCGACGTGAATCGGAACATGTTCCCCTATTGATGAGCGATGGATGTGTGAAAAAACAGATAAAGGGGAGACATATACCGGGGACCCCCTGTAGTTCTGTTTGTCAGGATCCAGGCCTTATGCTGTAGTTAGGAGTAGACTTCTAAACGTTGCATGTTCTTCAGCCAGTTCTTTGCACTATAGTACAAAGTTCCAATTTTGTCTAAGGAGATAAAGTAGAGGCATTACTCTCATCTGTAAGAGCCGTCTCACCATTTCTTGACAGAGAGAACATTCTTTTTTTACATTAGACTTCCTATTAAAAACGGCCTGTGCAAAAGCTGGCCCTGAAAAGAGTGAATACGGTTTAAATTCATGTGCCTGACTAAATAATTTGTGTTTTCAACACTTTGTATTTCTTGTTAAGACTGATGTCTAGGTGTATCCTGTTCAACTCTTACTGTACCAGAGTTACTACGATAGGCCTTGTATACGCTAGGATTTTTTTGCCAAAAATTTCCCTTTATTGGAACAGCTAGTTCAGCTCCAGCAGTAGGAACTTCAGGGTAGGCAGGGGCAGAGATGATCGGTAACTCCTGGGGAGAGGGCACGATATAAAGGTTGGGGAGGAGGTGATGAGACACCTGATCGCCCCATGTGTTCCCTCTGGCCCCTTTCCCACTCACCTTGCACCTCCCATACCTGCTCCAAGCTGGCACCACTTTGCCCCCTCTCCCCTCACAGCTCCTTCCTTCTCCCATTACCTCCCCACTGTGTGCATGGTGCGGGCAAGAGCGGGCTCCGCACACCTACTGTCAAGCAGGTAACTGCGGTTGTGGGCAAGGAAGGAA